TCAAATTTTCATTTACAAAAGTTAAAAAGATGAAATGAAGAGTACCTTGATTTTACCCTCGATGTAAGAGGCTTTATGTTTTGATTCAACATAACTGATAAACTGACCATAAACTGAAATAAAAAGGTTTTGATTAAAAATCGTTGGAAAAATCTCAAAATTGACCAGAAAAATTACACCACCGCTAGAGAGCTCACCTCTCCTCTTCTTTATTCCCATCACAACGTCTTCGGATTACCCCACTTTGCACTTGACTTTAAAAAACATTTATTGGTTCTTTATGTCACCTCCACCTAAATAAATAAATTAAGAAAAAAAAAAATCGCATAACAAGATAGAAACTCCGAAACACTAAACTGGAGGGACTAGAAATGTATGTTTTGTTTCGTGGAGTAGGGTATATGGCCTATTCAAAACCCTTTCTTATACTATACGACCAAATTGATGCTGTATAAGAACCAACCGAATTAGGGTCTCTAGGGTTTTATTTATCGAAGACAAAGAAGTTTGCTGCCGCCGCCGCCATGGTGTTAAAGTAAGATTCCTTCTATGCGTTAATTTGATTCATCCTAATTGCTCGTCGTCTGTATATGCAACTGTTAAGCGTTTGATGTGTTGATTTGAATGGAAGAACGTGACCAATCTCGCTAGTCGCTAGACATTTGGCTAACGTTCATTTCCCCAACAAGGTTCTTAGCCTTGTAAATGTGGTCATAGTTCATATTAGTGTTTTCAATCCATCCTATTCGAACAAAATATGCTCAAATTAAAGCTTGAAATCCGATCGTTGCAGCACTCAGCTATACTCTATTATTCTGAAGATTTAATGATTTATGCGTTTCATGGATTTTTTTCACGGAATCTAACGAATTTGTTTCATGTTCATATGGATACAGTTTTTGTTCAATTCACATGAGCATTACACTTTTATAAGTGCTCATTGCATCAGCGGATGATAAATGTTATCTACGATTAACTATACGGTTTGATGTTATAGCGATAGAAACATCCGTCAAGTCTCTCTACTCACACGTTCTTGCTTCTTCACGAGTGTTACAGTGTTTATGAAAATATCGGATTATACGTTTTTGTTAAGATTTTAATCGTGATTGCTATATCTCCAATCGTTTAATCTGAATCTATTTGATTTATGAAAGTCATTATTATCCGTATATTTTTATTTTCCTAAGGGATTTTTTTGGGCTGTTTTAGAATTTAACCTTGTCTATCTGTAACAATAGGACTGAGCTCTGCAGATTCAGTGGCCAGAAGATTTATCCTGGAAGGGGTATTAGATTCATTCGATCAGACTCTCAGGTATGGAATTAGTTTAAAACAATGTGTGCTTTAGCTTTTATATATCTTTATCTTTAACTTGTTTACTGCAACTAATTTGCATGTTTTCAATTTTAGGTCTTTTTGTTTGCAAATTCCAAATGCAAGAGGTATTTCCATAATAAACTGAAGCCCTCAAAGCTCACATGGACAGCCATGTACCGGAAGCAACATAAGAAGGTGAGAAATCCCATCAATCAACAATAATGATTCTCACTGTATTTTGATAAAATTACTAATTTGCCCTTTCTTAAAAAAAAAAAAAACTAACAGGACATTGCTCAAGAAGCTGTGAAGAAGAGGCGTCGTGCCACAAAGAAGCCATACTCCAGGGCTATTGTGGGAGCCACATTGGAAGTCATTCAGAAGAAAAGAAGTGAGAAACCCGAAGTTCGTGATGCTGCTAGGGAGGCAGCTCTTCGGTAAGATAGCTTTTTCTTTTTGTGACATTAATTGTTTTACCAATTTGGCATAACTAAATCGGTTGTTATTTGTATATGAATGAAGTGAAATCAAGGAGAGGATCAAGAAGACTAAAGATGAGAAGAAGGCAAAGAAAGCAGAGGTAGTATCGAAGCAAAAGACACAAGGAAAGAGTGGAAATGTGGCTAAAGGAGGGAAGGGACCTAAGCTTGGAGGTGGTGGTGGGAAACGTTGAAGTTTCCTATTTGGTACTTGTGTTTTTTTACATGCTAGGAGAGAACTTTTGAATGGTTGTTACTTTTTATGTCAATTCCATCGAGACATTTACAATTTTCAATATGAAAACAATATCGACTTTTGAACCACACTCCATGCATTTGGTATGAGACGGAAACTGATATCAATTGTGTTAATGGTACAAACTGCATTTGGTATGAGACTGAAACACCATGAGTACAAATACATCACATGTTTATGCAGCTCCCTAACATAGGGACCTTTTCCCTCTTTTGTTTAATGAGCTTCATGGGTTAGACACTTAATTTGGACAACTATATAGTATATACGGTTCCATTTTTTTTAATCTCTAAACAAAATGACTTTGTGGGTTAAGCAAAACCCCAGTCTTACAAAAATAGGGTAAGGGGGAGGTAAGTTAGTGGGCTTCTGTTAAAGATTTAATGCCTGATTTTCTTTGAAGATAAGCATAATAAAATTAAACGTCAATCCACAAGATTAATAGGAAAATAAATGAATAATTCAATAAATAGTAATACGGTGAGGGATGACGGCTATTAGGGTGGATGGAATTGTTCCCGTCTAACCTGTTGAAGCCGCCAAACCAAAGGTGGAGGGAGTCCGTGATCTTGCTGAACCCGCTGAAGCTGGATCATCCCTCTCAACCCGGCTTCCCCTTTTTCCTTCTTTGCTTCCAACCTCCTGTTTCTTGAACCCGCAAACCCTTCTCTTTCTTTCTTGCTCTCCTCCCGCCGATCTCTCTCATCCTTCCTGGTCAACCCTGCTCAACCCCTCCATTGCTAAATCCACTATGATTCCGTCCACCCTTAGGGAATTTTTTTTCAAATACTTGGGCTGATAATAAAGAATGTTAGTGGCAGCCTGGTAGGTAGGGGTGGCAATTGATGACATGACACAAAAAAAATACAAAACACGAAACAAAATTAGGACGAAACTGAAATTTGAGTTATGTTCGTGTCAAAGTATAAAATACATGACGTGTTTGTGTTCAAAATTCGACGCAAAATTGACACGATTTAGCATTTACCAGTCATGTTTTTCGTGTTTGTCGTGTTTATCGTGTTATGTATGATTAAGTATTAATTAAACAAATTAATTGTTATATTATATCATCTTTTTCGTGTCGTGTTGTATTTGTTGTTTTTAAATCGGTTCGTTTTGGTGTTAGTTGAAAAAGACACGATATCATGTCGTGTCGTGTTCGTATTACAAAAAACTTTGTTGTGTCGTGTCGTGTCAGACAAAAACATGACACGATGGTCCGATTTGCCACCCCTAGTGGTAGGAATGGGCAAACTGGCTGTATTCACATTGATTTAGTAAACCAAAACAATAAAACATGGGGCTGGCAAAACACTTCTAACAAATACAACATACGCCAAGTGATGAAGCATACAATGAGTGAGGAAGTAAAGAATATAGCCAATATACTCATACGAATACAAACGAACATCACAAGACTTAGAAGGCATGCAAAATACCAAGCTAACATGCAAAGAAGCACAATCAAATGTCACCCTGAAGAGGGCCAAATGAACAAACAAAAAAAAATGCAAGAATTAGCAATAATGTTGCAGAAGACATTTGCCACAAGCTAGAAATGGGTACTAACACATACAAACAGAAAATAAAAAAGAAACAATGGTCGGACTCAAATCTAGTAGCCCTCCCAAAATGTAAAAAATGCAATAAAAAAAACAGAATGATAATAATACTTAAATACCAACTATTTTACCACCCTAATTCTAAGCATTCACACTCTTTTATAAGGTCATGTCATCGAAAAAATCAACTCTTTAAGTCTTACATTACATTATCTTCCCACTTTCTACATGGTATATCTCTCCTCTCACCCGTGCAATTGAGACACTATCCATTTTGACATTTTCCTATTTTCCTATTTGTCTTTTTGTTTTTTTTTTTTTTTTTTTTTTTTTTCAAATCTCATGTTAAAATTTGTCGGAATGTTAAGGAAAAATGAGCCATTTAGACTGTTTATTTGGTCTCCAGCTTAATGGGAAGAATGAAAAGAAAAATCCTTTAGAATCTTAGAGCATGCATTTCCTGTTGCCTACCTACCCTATATGCCACTTTATACACATCCAATCACATTTTTAGTGATGATAAAGAATGATGAAGATGGTGAGTTTAAGGGTGGTTATTGGTAGTTGGTTGTTGGTGATTGTGGTTGTGGATACGGTGGTGGTATTGGCAGTGGACTGTATAACCGTGGCCGCTCTGTTATCTACTTGCTCTGAGTTTGTCAACAACGAGACAAAATACCCGTATTTAGGGTCCAGCTGTTGCAAAGCCATGACTACTCTTGGTTATTTTGCTTACAATGACATTGATAGACACGCTTTATGCTTTTGCTTCATTGGTGTTATCAATGCTACCTACACCCCAGACGAAGCTAATGCCTTTTGTACTTTACCTGGTTTTTGTGGTGTCTCGCTTGGCTTTCTCACTGATCCCACCACCGAATGCGGCTAGTAAGAGCTTCGCATTCACTTTCTGTTTGGTCACTACTAGCATTTTACTTCATTGATTTAACCATGTAGGTTACTTCATAGAATTTACTTTATACCTTTTAATTTGGTTGTAATACATGTAATTCATTTTATAGTCATTTTCTTTGTTAATGTAATTACATACATATATTAAAAGTACATATAATAAGACCTTTTAAACCTTTGTTCGTTACACAAGACAATACCAGATGGAGCGACACATATGTTACATGACTTCAATTTCCCTCGTAGTCAAAAAAAAAATTACAATTTTTGTCCCATTGACATTAGTTTCATTCAGAGTCAAACATCAAAATCAATGCAACATGTTTGTAATACCGTGTCTACACAAGCCATAACACAATTCGTTTTTGCAATCACACAAATAACCTTGAAAATGTTAACTATACAAAACCACACGACGCCATTTTTGGTTGATCAAAGATCCGCCAAACCTACCTTCGAAAACCCCTCTCAGACTGAGTATCTGAGTAATCCCAATGCCTCCTTTGCCTCGGAGCACTGATTGACCGGATCCGAACCCTCGCCTGAGATGACTCTGTGTTAGCCATGTAGTTAGGGTGACTCGGGTACTCCCCAAATAGGCTCCGTGGGTACTCACCACTATGAGCCGGAGTAAACGGACTCCTACTTTGGCTTTTATACCCACTTCCACGTGTTTTCTCTGTTCCCCAACTTGAATCGGTTAACCGAGATTTACTAGGTTTTTTTGGGGTTGTAATCTTCCTTGGCTTCCAAGTATCCACTTCAAGAATCTTGTCGCTTTTATCATCATGTTTGCTTGTCCATGAAGTATCCTCCATCCAATTGTCTAACCAATATGGTCCGCTATGATGGAATCGTGGTTCACCTTTGATGTAAGACATCGAGTTGGATCGCTGTGTATGTTTTGTAATGGAATCCATAAGAACACACTCGAATTATACAAGAAGATAAAATGGTTATGAATTAGGGTTTTTTCTTATTTTTACTTACGGGATGGTGGGACCGGAAGGATTTGACGGTTGAATGTGGTGAAGCCGATGAGTGGGCTCGGTTGGCACAGGCTTGAGCCTGAAGCCGAGCCATGGCTTGCATTCTTCGAAGCATGTCTGCGCTTTGTTTCCGTATGATGTGACCACGTACAAGCGCCTGAAGCTTCACTAATCCTTTAAGTGCCCTCAATGCTCTCCTAGCCTACACATGTAACTCTTTCAGCATACTGTATACACATCAAGGTTATTTAATATTTATACATCAACGTTTCATCTTTTAATTGCATATAAATAAGAGGAAAAAAAAACCGTCGTCTTTCCTCCGGTCAATGCTTAAAAAAGACATTATGTTATTTCTATGTCTATTAAAACCATTATACTTTTTATTTTCGTTATATTATTGGTTCGCATATAACGTAAGAATATTGGTTGCATAGCTTACGTGGAACTATAATAAGTACATAAGAACATTTATTCAAATTATAAAACTTAGATAGAATAGTGACACAACTTCTGGAAATAGTGATTACAGTGTCTAGAAATTAACAATGTCATGTAATCAATTTGGTTACAAGTAGATTATGCAACAAACCTTTTGAACTGCGAAGCATTAATTTAATCAAAATTATAAAGTATAATGTTTTTAGTAGACACTGAATTAAGAAAAAGGTTTTAAACATCAGAGGATAATAAGTTGGTTTTCCTAAGCTTTTCCATATAATTAACTCAAACTGGTTACACATTTTATCACACGTACAACTAATAATATATTCACATAGATTTATAGTGATAGTGGAAATAAAACAATAAGCAAGTTGTATATAAAGCAAATAGATACTAAATATCAAATTGCAAATAAATAATAAGATCTACCGAAATTTATGTTTTAATATTTGTCAATATCAAAATAATATAAAAAGTGTTGAAATGATATTGGGATGGACAGATTTGATATAAAAAAAAGGGTCCAGTAGATAAAAAAAATATAAAAAAACGATTTTTAATGTTATAGGTGAAGATGCTATAAAAGATAAAGAAGTGAAGTTGATATCGGGAATAACAAGGGTCCAAAAGAGAAATATAAAAAGTCCGAGGGCGCTCTACCACCGATGAATGAAGTGGCGGGACCCAATGCGCAAAATCAATGAAGATTTGTTGGAGTAATTAAAAATTAATTTATATTTGGAATACAAGGGCACTTGGGTAAATTAACAGTTACGAAACGTACCAGGTAAGCCCGAAACGCCGATTGTATCTTCACGGCCGCCACTTCCCGGCGTCGCCCACCGACATAATACGCTCTGCTATTGCTACCACCGGCGCTTGTCAATCTCACAACCTCCGCAGCCGCATGTGCCGCCGCGAGCGCTGCCTCCGCCACAGCAGCGGTGGCAGCCGCAACTGCTATGGCGTGCTTGTTGTCATCGGATAGTTTGGGGTACAAACCGTGGTTTTCCGGCGCTTGTCTTTTGGAATCCGACTTACTTGAAGACTTTTTGGAGCCGAAAAGAGACCGGAGCCACCTGGTTGTCTTACCCATTTACCATCGCCGGCGTTTCCCAAATCTAATTTATAGTGAATTGAAGAAATTAAGAGAGAAAGCAAAGAAGAGGGGAGAAATGAGGCGGCTTTAAACGCGCACTTGGAACTTTGGGAGTGCGAAGTGAAGTATTTGGGCGGTAGTTCAAATTTCGGGGCCCATAATTTTTTTTAAAAAAGGAGTGAAGACTTTTGACAGATAGCTTGTCGGTCCACACGGCCTCAAACCTAACAAAAGTCTTTAAAAAAAATAAATAAATAAAATTCGTATTTGTTTCCTTGTAACCGACTGTAGAAACTATATAAAAACGTTATTATGCTTTGCAAAATAATAATTGGTTTTGAGTAGGTTATTAGATCAGACATAAAATCATTTTATGCTTTGCAAAATAATAATCATAAGATCCTATAAAAACAACATCATTATAAGTTTAAGAACGGAACATTTCAAAAGAAAACAGGTTTAAGTTTAAACTTTAAACACAAGAAGAACATTGTTTTGAAAGAACACTACTAAAATGAGTTAAATTTAAACTATAAATCTAGAAGTCAAAATTATGCATATAGGAACTATATAATTCGAGTGCCTTGTAAAGGGGTTAAAGAGAAACATGTAGGCTTGTAGCATAACTACTCATATCAAAATTACGTCATTTGAGAAGTACGTCACAATTAGGGTTTAAGCATTTTAACAATATTCAAACAATTTGAGAAGAATGTCATAATGTGTGTGTAATGAATTAAATTTCATAAACTATTTTTTTAAATGACGATAAACTTTATAGCAATAAACATAGCAAAATCATAGTATTTTAATGAGTAATTACATATCATAACAGCTAACTGGACACCTCGTGAAGCCTTGAGAATTTTAGCACCTCAAGTGTTGTGCCTCTAATGAATTACAAACACCAATAACAATTGGAGGAAGCAAGAGAGAGAGGAGAGATGAGAAATTCGGCTCTAGGACTTCTAGGGTTCAAGTGGCCGAATTCTCGTGCCTTAGGGGTTCTTATATAGGTGTAGGAATTCGGGTTTCAATCGTTATCCTTATCTGGTTACTTAGCCACCAAGCAGCCCGTAAGCTAATTCTAAAATCTCATTATGGATGAATTCTTAAGACCTTATCCTTAAAATTCGTCCACCTTATCATTTAGGGTTTCGTTGCCTAACCTTGTAACTATCACATAATTACAATTTAGTCCCCTTAGTTCAATTAACTTCTTTTAATCACAAAATTAATTCAATTCTTGACCAATGTTAATTAAACAAATATGATTTCTCTTTTAATACATATTAATAAACCATAATAACCTCTTTCTCTATTATTCCTCCAGTCAAGTTGCTTTGGTGAAGGAAACCTAAAAGGACCATGCACAACCGGGTCAAGTACAAACCAAATGTAGTTATGGACTTAGACACTAATCCAACAGTCTCCCACTTGGATAAGTCTAATAACTACAAATGCATATGCAACTTCTGGATCCGATTAGCAATCGCAGTTCTCAAAACTCTTGATCTTATCAATAACCTTTCCTTAAGATATGAGATCGTATAATCCTCTATTCTAAATATCATGTAGACAATTACATTGAACATAGTCATACTTATTGTCTAGCAGTTTGTTTCTCGATCTCAGATTCGTTTGGCATAGAACTTAATCAAACACATCAATTCAGTCCTGACCGGGCCCGACACATAAGTCAAATCAAATCATCGAGGGGTCTTGATATCACTTTTATCCTCATAGGATAAAAGGAGCATATAAACTTCGACTTATATACACTTACTATTCACTAATCAAATCATACACATAAATGTGTTTTATAACATCAAGCTACTGATGTGTTTACGCATTATCAACGCATAACCAATTAGTAAACAATAAACCATATATCTAGGTTTTAAGGCCATATGATATTATCGTCTTGCGATCACTCGTGATAAATTCTATGAAGTGATCCCAACAAGCGTGGGTTTATTCCAATGCTCAAACATTTGCTCAAATCTAATTAATAAGCACTCATGAATGTCTAATACACTTTAGACAATCTACACACCAATTTATGACAATCTTCATTCATATCTACTTCCAACATACGAACGATTGTGGACCGTTCGAATAATTTTATTATCCAGGAAGCCAAAACATGCAAAATGAAACAATAGGTAAACAATTAACATAAGACAATAACTTTACTCATAAATAATACTCATTTATTTATTCATCAAATGTCAATTACATTTATCTATTACTCATTTCCAAATAATCTAATCTAAACTAATATCGTCCTTCAGCCCAATGCTCCTAGCGTGCTGCATGTACTTAACCCTACTCAATCCCTTCGTAAGCGGATCTGTTGGGTTAACCTCTGACGACACCCTCTTCACTACGAGGAGTCTTTCTTCTACCTGATGTCGAATGAAATGATATTTTCTGTCGATATGTCTACTATGATCCCTCGGTTCCTTGGTTAAGGCAACCGCTCCTTCATTATCATAAAAAATTTCCATGGGCTCTTGTTTGGCTGGCACAACTCCAAGGTCTCCAATGAAGTTGTTCAGCCATATTGTCTCCTTAGACGCTTCGCTCGCTGCAATGTACTCTGATTCGCACGTTGAATCAGCTATAGTCTCCTGTTTGGAACTTTTCCAAGTCATTGCTCCTCCATTAAGGGTAAAGACCCAGCCCGACTGTGAACGGTAGTTGTCCCTGTCGGTCTGAAAACTGGCGTCACTGTACCATCGCACCTATAAGTCATCACTCCCACCGAGGACTAGAAACCATTCCTTGGTCCTCCGAAGGTACTTAAAAATATTCTCAACTGCGGTCCAATGTGCTTTGCCAAGGTTCCCTTGATATCTGTTGACCATGCTCAAGGAGAAGGCCACATCAGGACGAGTACAAGTCATAGCAAACATGATCGAGCCAACTGCGGAAGCGTAAGGTACTCGACTCATCTTTGCTATCTTGAATTTGGTACTCTAACTTTGAGTCTTACTCAACTTGGCATTACTTTGGATTGGTAACTCCCATTTCTTGGAATTCTCCATACTAAAACGTTTTAGTACCTTGTCCAAGTAAGTATTATGAATAAGTCCTATTAGTCTTTTACTCCTATTTCTTATTATACTTATTCCCAAAATATTGGCAGCCTCTTCGAGGTCCTTCAGAGCGAAGCACTTCCCAAGCCAAGACTTTACTTCCTGCAACATCGGGATGTCATTTCCTATGAGTAGTATGTCATCGACATACAATACGAGGAAGCCTACTATACTCCCACTGGCTTTGACATATACACATGATTCATCCTCGCTTCGCAGAAAACCAAACTCTTTAACTTTCTCATCGAAACAAAGATTCTATCTGCCAAGACGCTTGTTTCTGTCCATAAATGGACTTCTCAAGCTTACACACTCTATTGGGATGCTTTGCATCGAAAAAACCCTCTGGATGATTCATGTAAACATCCTCAGCCAACTTTCCATTAAGAAAAGCGGTTTTCATGTCCATCTGCCATATTTCATAATCATGAAACGCAACTATTGCGAGCATTACCCTAATAGACTTTATCTTCGCAACTGGTGAGAAGGTCTCACCATAATAACCTCTTTCTCTATTATTTCTCAAGTCAAGTTGCTTTGGTGAAGGCAACCTAAAAGGACCATGCACAATCGGTTCAAATACAAACCAAATATAGTTATGGACTTAGACACTAATCCAACATTTACTTCATCAGGTTGAGGATCTCCACCCACCTCTAGTGTATGGCTACTTACCTGTACAACCATTGCTCTGCAATATGGAGTAACATTGTATTTTATAATATTTGGGTTTATCATTACCTAATACTTTACTTAAGTCTTTCCTAAGGGTTGTATCCATATACTTACAATGAATCTATTCATATATTGAACTTCTGATGGTTTAAGTCTAAATATCAATCTATGGAATTTAGTTCATTTAAACTACTGCTTTGATACCATGATTCGAAGACCCACACTTCATATGATCGAGAGAACCCCTCTCTAAAATTTATCCACATCATATTACTCCAAAACATGTTACATGCATATTTATAAACAATATTTTACATTGATAGTTTAATTACAAAAGACTGGGTACAAACCGACTATTAAGACTATTACAAAGTATTATATTTATTACATAACTACCTAGGGTATTATAGTTTTATACATACATGAACACTAATTACCAAAGTAATAGTATTATCTATTCAAAATCTTCTAACAGTATATGTATATACTGGATCCTTATTACCTGCAATGGTTAAACACTGAGAGGGATAAGCAGTGACGCTTAGTGAGGTCAATAATAGATACAATATAACGTTATGCCATATATATATATATATATATATATATATATATATATATATACACACTTCAATATGGCAGAAGCAAAGAGGAACAAGGAACAAAAAAGGCATATCTGAATCATGTGACAAGCTTTCCATATCAATCAATGAGACATAACAATTTCCATACTTGATATACATCAATAAAGTTTTGGCCCAAATGGCATAGAAGACATACACTTTCTAATTAACATTTTAGTAGAATTCAGGCTTTTAGCCCTATCCAGCCTTCTGTCAATGCCATAGGGATAGAAGTCATGGTCAAGGGTACAACTTTTGCTACCATAATAACATGAAATAATAACACAAGATAATAACACGGAAAAGCACATAGCACATATAACACATAACATACAATTTTTCATATATATATTAAACTCACCGTGATTTTACTAGGGGTTAAAATAGTAATTTGGGCAGCACTTCGTTACCATAAGTAACTTTCTTCGATGAAACCGGGAACTTTATTGGACATCGGGCCTTGCGAGGGTTGAGCTTCAAACCGAAAGGATAAATTTTTCAAGGTCTTCGGACACTTCGGGACGTTCTTCGGGTGTTGGGTATGATCCAGAGGCTTGGGGGAAAGTTGGAATGGCTTAGAAATGGGTTTATGAGTGAAAAGTATGAAATTTTCTAACATTAGCCGGGAGGGTTCGCACCTTCCTATTTATAGGGCGAGGCTCGGATCCGAATGGAGGAGGAGGATCCACGCGGCAGCTTCGCAGGCGAGGGGGCAGGTGGCGAGTTCGAGACCGAGACACGGGGTGTAACGACCGTAG